CTGAGGTAATTCAGAGTAGCAAAGTGTCTGAGGTAATTCAGAGTAGCAAAGTGTCTGAGGTAATTCAGAATAGCAAAGTGTCTGAGGTAATTCAGAGTAGCAAAGTGTCTGAGGTAATTCAGAGTAGCAAAGTGTCTGAGGTAATTCAGAGTAGCAAAGTGTCTGAGGTAATTCAGAGTAGCAAAGTGTCTGAGGTAATTCGGAATAGCAAAGTGTCTGAGGTAATTCAGAGTAGCAAAGTGTCTGAGGTAATTCAGAGTAGCAAAGTGTCTGAGGTAATTCAGAGTAGCAAAGTGTCTGAGGTAATTCAGAGTAGCAAAGTGTCTGAGGTAATTCGGAAAAGCAAAGTGTCTGAGGTAATTCAGAGTAGCAAAGTGTCTGAGGTAATTCAGAGTCGCAAAGTGTCTGAGGTAATTCAGAGTCGCAAAGTGTCTGAGGTAATTCAGAGTCGCAAAGTGTCTGAGGTAATTCAGAGTCGCAAAGTGTCTGAGGTAATTCAGAGTCGCAAAGTGTCTGAGGTAATTCAGAGTCGCAAAGTGTCTGAGGTAATTCAGAGTCGCAAAGTGTCTGAGGTAATTCAGAGTCGCAAAGTGTCTGAGGTAATTCAGAGTCGCAAAGTGTCTGAGATAATTCAGAGTAGCAAAGTGTCTGAGGTAATTCAGAGTCGCAAAGGACCAGTTTCACGCCACTGGAGCCCGAGACATATATTGCTACACTCATATGTTATAGTCCAATTATCATGAGACTATCAATGTAGACGGCATCACACACGCCATCTTTTACTTCCCAGCAGTCTGATAGTGCTTAGTTCAGGCTGTCTGCCACTGGCACTATGAGTCTTCTTGTCGATTTTAAAATTCTGGTTTCGTGTAAATACGAATTCTTTCCTGCCTTCGTCTGTACAGCAGTTCACTTTTTGATGTGGTTTACATCTAGGCTGTAATATCTTTGGTTTTCCTCTGACAGGTCCCATGTTTCAGGTTTAGGTTTTAGGTTTAGACGGCGGATCAACATCTTGCCACAAGGGTTGTAGCCCATAAGTACTCTGTTCTACTTCTGACTCAAGCCTGAGTCCGAATAATCTCAGTCCATTTCACGAAGTCCGTAGTACCAGCAAGGATCCTGAAAAATACTTTGGTTAGATTTTAAACTCAGAATTTTGCCTCGGCAGCGCCGTTAGGCTACTCTTTTTCGATTTCCAACGCAAGGGGGTTTGGTACGTGCGCCACAATATACACAGGCGCCCGATCTTACTACCCAGAGACCAGATAAAAATACTAGAAGTCCACGTGAAAAAATATAGCCTTCACCGGGGCTTGAACCCGGGACCTCCAGCACTCAAGACGGAAGCCATGCCTCGAGACCTCGACAGTCATCGGTCATGAGGCGAACGGCGAACCACTACACCACAGCGGCTGTTTCTATGCTTATAATGAATCCTATGCTGATAAGAATCAGACGTGCAGTTTAGCTTGATAAACATGCACTGCTGTAGTCATGACAGTCCTCTTTTGTTACTGGATTATCCGCGCCCTCGAAGTAGACACCATCACCAAGTCTAGAACAGGGCTGACAAACCTAAACAGGGCTTGCTAACAAAGAAATAAATACGCACATAATAACTTTGACGATGGATGCACATTAATTAGGGTTAATTTCCGCATTAAGGCCACGGATACATGTAGTACTTAATGGTTTCTTTCCAGTCATGACAGTCGGTATTAATTGTGTTGCACTTCTTATCTCCCTTTTGTATTAAACATTAGTGGGTGATTGTTTCCCTTAGATTCCTTTCGCAGTGGATATGGTTAAGATGTAACACTTTTCATACAGTAAGGCATAAACAAACACATATTTATCATTTAGTTGTTGTTTTTTCCCGCATCCTGCTCATTGTCTGTGAAATATGGAAGGGGAAATTATTTTCCTGCTATTTAAGTGTATTTCAAATTACCTTCTGATTTAAGAGAAGAGTAATGAAATAGAGCTACCAGGAACTTTCAACGATGACTTTAAAACTTAGAAAATAACTGTGGAATTGTTTTTAGCATCTTGAGTGATCCCTTGAGGTCAATATATAAAAGCAGTTGTGAGATTTGGATGTTAATTGCTAAGGCGAAGCTTGTAATTATAACTTCAATTTACAAATGCTGTGCTTAGACTGAGGGCTAAAATATTCTTTGCTGTTGTAACAAACCTAGATAGTAACATGTTGACATCTCTCAACAGGGTTATTCAGCTGGCGGCGTGCGGGTCAGATCTGGCCCGCAAAAGCTGACAAGTAGTCAGCGGATAATTACCAGTTGAACTGTATTTATGATCGTTTTATGCGCTGGTTCTAGCTTGTGACGATTCCCATTTTCAGAATGTTGGCCCCTTAGTAAACTGAGCGGATTATGCCTAGTCTATAGAAATATGTGTCATTATCAATATGCCCAATGAGATGGTAGCCCAGAGAGAGTCCTTTACTTGATTGGAGTGTTCCCGTGGCGTAGTGGCCAAGCCGTTTGGCTCACGCTCTGATAGTGTGGGTTCGTTTCACGGTTGTGTCATTCAGTTCAAGTATGTAGTTTTTTAAGGAAAGCCTGGGGATTGTCGCTGGGGTTACAGAATCCGTGCCTTGTGTGACACTCTCGGCAGGAGAGACACTGAGACATATAGTATAAGCTGGGGTCATGAAGTTAATCATCTCGACTGTTACCTTTTAACGTTTTTTTTTATCATAGCTAACATATTCAGTTAAATATAATTCACACACACACACACACATACACTCACTCACACACACACAAACACACACACTCACAAAGGCGCGCGCGTGTGTTTCAGTTCAACCTGATGAATGTGGTGTAATTCTGTTCCAAACATTGCTGGTTTGTTTACCATTGTTGGATACCATGTTATTTATTGTGAACATAGCCGATTTCTTGCATATACGGTAGACGCCAAGGAGGAACACTGTGTAGTCAGTTTGCCTTCCGTGTCGGTGGTATTGCATCGAAGCCTTTACGAAAGGCTCATTTGTTTACCTGAAGTGAATCCAGTATTGTCTTCTTTAAAGTTAATCTAGTATCTTTTTTTTCAATTATTCCGTTTATAATTTCTTTAAAGGGGCCGCGTTAGTGCAGTCGATAAGAAGCTCGCTTTCAAATCCAGCTGCGACTCGCAGCAGCCCACGGTCGGTCTTGGAGACCGGGCGGTTCCCGGGGTTCACCCAGCCTCTAGGAAATGGGTACCACAGTGATACTCTGGGGTAAATGGAGGAACGTCTTTGTAGCTACAGAGTTACAAGCAAACGGCGACACAGGCGGACAATACCTATCAGCTGTCCGTACTGGTGTCAGAGCACTTATGGTTTATAACAGTGTGCAATGACGCTGGTTCACATCTCCCGACTTTGAAGTGAATTCAGAATTGCTTTCTGTATAGTTAATACCGTATTTGAATTCTTTAAAGTTAATACACAATTTGATTTCTGCAAAGTTAATCAAGTTTTTTTTAAATTGCATTAACATTTAATGTCCTAAGGAAAGCACCATATGTGATTAACTATTGTCTCTGTGTGTCACACCTACTAATGTGTAATTCTTTCATTTCCATTTGGTCTGAAAATACTAAAGAAATCTGGCGTAATATTTGAATATGCAGTACATCCGGTTGGCAGTTTGCAAGTATAAAACTGATTCAATTTCACTGCGTTTATTCTCTGTTTCATTTGGGTTATATTTGAGAAAACCTGCGACTGAAAGAGTTAAAGATATTCTAGCTTGCCGAAACAATCCGGCGTGAAATAGGGACACAAAATATTGTAGAAAGAAGAGGCCATTTTCACTATGTCTTTTTGCTAGTGCTAATATCAACTGCAGAGTCCTTTGCACAACGTCGCTCCCGTCACGGCAAGCCTTAAATTTTCTCGCGCTCTCTCTCTCTCTCTCTCTCTCTCTCTCTCTCTCTCTCTCTCTCTCTCTCTCTCCATCTCCATCTAGTTCTCAAGTCTATGTGCTTTCTCATAACCAATGCGTCTACAATCGCAGTGGCTGGCATCTGCGTCACTTTCCAGAAACTGCACCGCCTCACATCCCACGCCCACTCCACCCCCATTACCGTTCTCTTCAGACGACCGTGGCGCTTGACAAGTGACGATAGTTATATGACAATATCAGTTAGCACCACGTGTCTAAGACATTTTAAGACGCAGTAATTCATCTTCGTCTTCTTCTTCAGCTCTCGCCATTTTTCACTTTCTGCTGTTGTTGCATCTAACCTGTGATATCTGCAGCTTTCGTGCCAACACATTTAATTTCAGCAAATCCATAATTAGCCGCCTAATACGACACGCTTGTTAAGACGTGGAAATAATTCTTTATATGTGGACAGTTAAAAATATTTATAGACGTACACAGTTATGTGTAGCCATAGAAATACACAGTGGAAAGCTGCGGTAGGGCAGTATGTTACAGCATATCTACCGATCCAGATGTATTATGGTCTACTCCGTATCGTAGTACATCTTAAATAAAAACTCACACATCTGCACAGCTTTAAATTGGTACACATCTTCACTGCCAGTTAGGCCAAGCATTTCTTTAAAAAATTGTATAGAATTTAAATAACATTCGTATTGAACCGTTTTTTCTTTTTTTTTTTCTTTTCAGTTGTAGATACAGACTTGTCCAAACATCGTCTTCGGAAGCATATACTTCAGCTTTTGTATGAATGAGAAGCGTATACAGCTACACACTGAAAATGATGTTCATGATCCCGATATCATACGTTGATTTTTAGTGTGATATCTTCAACAACTTTACATTTTTATCTGCTGCCATTATAATCGGTTCTTTCCGGTAATATAACGATTGATTCGGATTTTCCCGTTTGTTGAAAACCTTACGGAGATTCCCGATCATGGCTCGGGCGTTCAGTCTTGTTATAAGTAGCATTTCTCATTTATCACGCTGACTGTGTTCCAAGGGCGCCGTATATTGACTTTTTCCTCGAGCATGAGCAACGGACCAGGGTTGGATTCTCTAGACCCAGCATTCACAGAAACAAGCAACAGTTCCACTACAGCTTCATCAACTCCTATTCCCGAGGAACTTCCTACGTATTCACCAGACGCTATTAAATCGAAACCACCTCAAAGACGACAGGATTTCAGCTCTTCTGGTTCCATGTCGGGAAGTCCTACAGAGCCTGGTACGGAAAGTAAGAGTCAGTTTAATTTGATGGACATCAACACTTGGGATAGCATCCCAACGGCGTTCTTTGAGCCCGCTGCGCCCTCGGTGAATCGCATCAACAAAAGCGGCGCTCAAAACCAAGCCGGCTCAGGGCAAACTCCGATTTCTTTTTCCGAGGCTGGGGCCGAGCCGTCGCTGGCTTGGGATTACTCAAATGCTGGAATGGGAGGTGGGGCTGAGATGGGAGGTGGGGCTGACATGGGAGGTGGGGCTGACATGGGAGGCGGAGGGACTCAAGACGTGTTTCTTCCGTTAGCTGATCATTCTCCAGGATCAATGCAAGCTGACCAACCATTTATGTCGTCCGACTGGTCAGCGCCTCCTGTCAGCAAGGACACTGCAAAGTACAAGGAGGAGCCCACACCAAAGCCGATCACTGTGCGGTTTTCTGACGGTGAATCAATGGCCAGGGCAATTCTATCAGGGCCAGGTAAAGAAGTGGGAGTGGACCTACTCGACCACTTTAGGCGCCGGGACTTCCACTAGAGGCGGGGATCGGTATGACAAGTCCTTGACCTGTTGCCAACGTTTGCCTTACATCTGTGGTGTGGACGGCATGTGTGTTATAGGTATTGACGAATGCCAGGAATTTTGCGCATGTGCTGCCAATCCACAAATGCCACATTGTCAGGCAGTTATTCCTCAGATTAAAAGAACGATGGCTGCCCTGGAGAAAAAGATCTTGGCTAAAGTTGCTAAAGATTTAACTTTAACAACAACGACGACAACGACGACAACGACGACAACGACAACACCATCTAGAGCACAATATAACAGAAGCCCTGTAGAAAACCACTTCGACCCACTGATGACCGACTTACAAGAGTTTATGAGACTTGGAGAGCAATCAGCTGCTACATCTTCACAAGGACGGTACCCAATGGCGTCAGGAGCTGAAGCGGACGCAGCACTAAAGCCAGAAGGTGACTCACGATTTCAACCCTCAGTGGCACCCCAGAACATAGAAACTAACGCATATCTTTTTGAAAGTGCACCAACATTCCAGAATACTAAAAATGATTTAAAACAAAGTTTATTAACACAGCATTCAGTAAATACCAAAACAACAATACCAACAGTTGAAATTTCAAATTATAAGCTAAGTCAAGTAAACCAAAACACTCAGTCAGTAACTACAGCCGAAAAATATCCACAGAGAACAGCAACACCGTCTCCGAAATCTGTCAAAACGTTGATAACATCCATCAACATCAAATGCAAAGATGGTTCAGTCCCGAACAAGCTTCGGGGAAACCGATTTAACAACCCGGGATCCGATTACCCCGACCCAGGCACCTTTAGGTTTTGAACATAAACCACAAAACCCTGTTGCAACTGAGCTAAGTCGAAAGCCTGCACCGAGAACCTCCAAGCTACCGTTTACTGTAGATCCAGACACAGTTCCCGCAGCAAATGACTCTATTCTGTCTCCTGGCTCCATAGGTGGATCAAAGTCCCAAAGTCTTTCAAATACTACGCCAAATGGTGGACTCAACGCAGTTCCGACAGCACAGGACACGCTATTGTCTCCTGGCTCCACAAACGGATCAATGAACCGAAGTCTTTCAAATACTGCGTCACATGGTGGACTCAACGCAGTTCCTACAACAAAGGACACGCTATTGTCTCCTGGCTCCACAAACGGATCAATGAACCGAAGTCTTTCAAATACTGCGTCACACGGTGGACTCAACGTAGTTCCTACAGCAAAGGACACGCTATTATCTCCTGGCTCCACAAACGGATCAATGAACCGAAGTCTTTTGAATACTACGTCACATGGTGGACTCGATGGAAATTCTAATCTGAACAGCAAGGTCAACAAAGAATCTATGCCTGCTGTTACAGATGCTGTAAAAGACGATGGATCAGTGGCAAATGTTACGGGTTTACACACATACACTGTGGGTTTAAACAGCCTCAACACAACACATTCTGAATCTGATATCAGTTCAACAGAAAAGAACTGGCGTGATTCATCGAATAAGCCTTTAGTAATTATTAATTTTATTACAACTAAACAGACGGTGGACACTAGTCTCGCGGATAATGTTAACAGAACTGATGATACTCACGGAGAAACTATTGATACACACGCTATTACGGATAACACTGCAAGAAATGAAGTTATCCATACAGAGGAACAGAAGTATAATACCAGCAGAAACGGCTCAAGTACCTCACGCCCACTCGACACCATGATTCAAATCCAGGCGACACTCAAAAATGGAACTGACCCGCTTGTAAAGAAGTACCATACAGAAAGCACCAACTCCCCTTCAACAAGCAGAACTTCCAGTGCTGGAACAGGCAACATCAGAGCTAGCGCCAAAGAAACTTCTATGTCCGTTACCACCCCTCGCAGGGTTGCTCTTTCCAGTCTTCGCCTAGACAGTAATAACTTGGTTAAATCTACGTCAGGAAATCTCCAGACGGCATTAAATCTTAGATTGGACAATCATTTGAGCACAATCAATTCTATAAAGGGAAATCGTTTCGAGCACAATTAATTCTATAGTGGGAAATCTTTTGAGCACAATCAATTCACCATCGGGAAATCGCCTGAGCACAGTAAATTCTGTACTGGGAAAGATCCTGAGTACAGCAAATCCAACACGGGGAAATCTGAGCACAGTTAATCCCACACGGGGAAACCCTCTGAGCACAGTTAATCCCATATTGGGAAATCATCTGAGCACAATAAATTCCACATCGAGAAATCGTCTGAGCACTGTAAATCCCATATCAGCAAATCCGACCACGATAAATCCTATACTAGAATATTGGACCACAATGAATAAAACACCAGGCAATTCTTTGACCACAACACACTCAAAACCAGAAAGTCCCCTGGCTGCCAGGTTCAAAATAAACTTCAAATCCAGTACGATGGCAACTGCTGAAATTTCAAACAGTTCACGAGAAACAGCAGAAGTGGTTCTTTTCAACAACAGCAGTGATCGTGTGGTGAAATACCAGCCACTACAAGGAGAAGCGATGTCATCTACTGTCACATCGTCCCCAACAGGGCGAGAAGTCTCGATGACGCCTAGTTCAGCACAGACCACCACTGCGTCGACGTCCAGAGCTTCGGATGAAAATGTTACCATGACAACTGGTGCTGCTACATCACTAACTGACAGAGATGCCCAAGAATATGTTCATCAGTTTGACGCCAATTCAACAGATAAATATGGCAAAGATGAAATAGACAATTATCGTACTGAAAAAGACAGAACGAACCAGTCAACTCCCAGGGGTGTAGCCTCAGAGGAAATCCAGCTTGATACAAGAACTCTGTCTACACATAACGCAACACAACAAAGTAGCATCACTGAATACCCCAACAGTAAGCTGAATGAAACGGAGGATTCATCCATCGCCTATACGAGCAATTTAACAAACAGCTCGAACAAAACGCCCAATAACACGCATGAACTATTCGGAAAAGACAAAGGCATTCTAAAATACAATTACACAGAAATTATCGTTGTTAACGACAAGGATACAAAACTTTCAAATGACACGAATATTTTAACAAGAAAAAATACCGCTGAAATTTCGAACAACACAGCAGGTTACGATATCTTTGCTGCCAGTACATCTCTTCCTGGATTGACCAAACCTCCAGTAACTGAAAAAGAGCACAATGAAAGTGGAAAGACACATAGCAATGTCACAAAGACAAACGCCAAAGGCAAAATTGTAGAAGGTGACCGAGGTCTGGTGGCTACATCGTCTGGTGGCAAAGAGATAGGACATTGCAATGATAAGTGCCAAGGCCGTGGTGGAGTTTGCCTTCTGGGTGATGATCTCAGGTCTCATTGCGTGGTCGTGACTGCAGCTTGTCAACAGCATCTTTGTCATAATGGATAGTAAGTACCTGGTTGTTGTAAGTCATGTCGTGTGTCTTTTGTTTTGTCCAGTATTCTTTTATGTGTCTATTTTTTCTCTTGTCTTATGTCTTGACTTTTGTCTTGTCTTGTTTGCTATTTTGTCATTCTTGCTTTTTGCCCTGTATTTGTCTTGTCTTTTGTCTTGTCTCGTGTCTTGTCTTGCGTCTTGTGTTGTGTCTTGTCTTGTGTCTTGTCTTGTTTGCTGTTTTGTCATTCTTGCTTTTTGCACTGTTTTTGTCTTGTCTTTTGTCTTGTCTTTTGTCCTGTCTTTTGTCTTGTCTTGTCTTGTGTCTTAATTTGTGTTTTTTTATTTTGCATTCTCTTATTTCATATGTATTGTCGCTTGTCTTTCGTCCAGTCAGAACATACTGGTCAATAAATATTGAGCTTAGTGTTTGTTGATGTGGTGCTTGTAGTAAATAGTTGTTTTGCTCTTGCAGCTGTGTGTCCTCTGATGAAGTTCCATCCTGCGAGTGCCACCCCGGCTGGGTGGGCGCCTCCTGTGACCAGCCTTGCCCTGTCGACTGCGATGACCGCAGCTTCTGTGACGGAGGTGGCGACAATGACATCATCAGCTGCTCTTGTCGCTGGAACTACACGGGACACGGTTGTAGGAATGCTAAAAAAATTGTGCAGCAATCTCCAGGTATGTACTGGCTTCCTTTTAGAGCACTCTTTATCATGTTTATAAAGACCTCATTTATTGCCATTTGCACATCCTTTTTGCAAATTTAGCTTTCTATATACGGAGACTGCTGGTTTTTCCCTTTTCAGGTAGATGCACTGTGACTTAAAAGGAAACGTCTTAACTGGTCGACATGTTTCTAGGGAGGCTGTGGAACTATTCTTTTAATCCGCACAATGGTGTGGCCGAACACACGTGGCAACAGACGATAAAATAAAAGCGTCTTTAAGAACAAGGAAGAGATATAAGATAAAGATATAAATATTATATATTTTCTCTTCATACCGTCAATACAGCCACCACCACATCGTTGTTCACACGTGTCAGTATATATCGGCCTTGACACTTCCAACGAAAGTGCGGTTTAGCTTCCGGGGTCAAGTGTTGAAGCGGAGATTACTCCCCTTTTGATTTGTGGCTTGGAGCTGTCGCCATCTTGTCATGCACAACTGCAGAAGGCGGAAACCAGTGGCATGGCATTCAATACATACATGTCGTCGTGTGGACGTCTGCAGACATTTATTTGCGACGTGACCAATATATGTGTCACGGGGATGCGGACATTGTCAAGACATATGCAAAACGTCTCCTCTTATATCAACCCAGCTATATTTCTCCGCACATACCTAGATGGCACAACGTATGTCCGTTGTCAATTACAGATTCTAGGTTACATAATTAACTCACTGAAAAACGTAATATTCTGCAACGGCTACATAAATCCTGCTAGTGAGGCAAATTTGGCTTAGAAGACATTAGTTTTAAGGCAGACTGTTGAAGCAAGAAATATATAAATCATCCTGAATCTGTTCTGCAAATACATGTAAGCATTCATACAACACGCGCTAGGTTCTTGGTAGACCAAAAATAGTGAATGGTTTAATTAATTTTGCAGCTGATCCATCATCAGTGTTAGATAGCCAGTCCTGCGCCAACTTTTCCTCAGGAGCCTCTTATGACAGGCAAAGCTTTCTTTATGCACCATAGTTACACACCGACAAATTGTATTTAAACTGCGTTTAGAACCTGCGTTACGTCTTGTTGCGAAATGTCAGAAATACCGACATGTATTGGTAGATACGGTGGTGGTAGAAAGGGATAATAGTGTCATTGGAGGTTAAAAACAAAATTCTTGCGTGAGACATACAGCCAGTTTTAACACAAGGCAATATCAAGAGGCCTCAGAGATGTGGTTTTACAGACGAGTCCTTGATATTACTTGGACAGCTAAGAAGAGCAACCCTGATGTTTTGAAAGAGGCGAGGGCTCGAAGACAGCTCATCACAAACATCAGAGAGAGACAGTCATCAATTTTGTGGTCATGTGGTTAGAAGAGGGAAATTGGGACATGTTGTGACCACTGGAAAGATCAGGGGAAAGAGAGACAGGGGATGACAGCGCGAAACGTTTCTTGACACCCTTTTGTCATAACATAAAGTAGTGTCAGTACACGAACTCATACACGCAGTTGCGGATCACGGAAAGGGAAGAGGCATAATCACCCACGCCAGACGGCAATGCACTTGATGACGATTATTACAATGAATAATTTTTTTTTCGTAATTTAACCAAGAATGACTTAGTTTCGTTGTAAGTACTCCGTATACTTGTCGAGGATCTTATTGTTTCATTTAAAGGTAGGTAGGTGCTTTGCTGGACAATAAATCTTCTTGTCCACCTAACATCCTAGAAGGGAGAGCTTTAGGTTATAATTGTGACTGGGTCATGTGCGCCATGTAACATGGCTAAGCATTGCACGCCACCATAGCTCTGAAAATGAATCCTTCAGTGTTGATGCGATCAAAAGAGACAGACACAAATACTGTCCTGACCGGCGACGAAGTCGTCACCGGTGAACCAATGGTTGACCCAGTCGCCGATAAGTGTTTAATTTAAATACTCAAAGAAGAATGTATGGACACCCTGTAGACAAAACACTCCCGAGATCAGACACGTCTGCAAAAAAAAAAAAAAATGTAAATCAGTCCCGTCTCTGCCCTTTCAGCACGGCCTTAGTTTAATTTAAACATGAAAGGCTATTTGTTCATACTTCCGTCTACTCCATCATAAATTTTATAGGATTTTTTTTTTTTTATTTTAAAGAAGAAGAACTAGTCAAGAGGGGATTACATTTTCTTGGAGGGGATTACATGGGGAACTGCAGATACGTTCGTGAGGTGTGGGTAAGTGTGGTAGTAGGACAATGAGGGCATCCAACAAGCGGGAAGTCGTTAGGGGACAGGAAGCTGCCTTATGTCAAACTATAGTCATTTTTTGTTTTATGTGAAACTATTCCAGCCCAGGAACGAAAGAAAGAAAAAAAAGAAGAAACAAGGAAAAAAAAACAGAAAGAAAGAGTAACAGAATAGAATCCAAAAGAATAACAAACGAAAGAAAGAAGGAAGTGAAAAACAATAAAGTCAGCAGCGTATCCTTTGCAGGGCGTTGCAGAACCAACCCAGACATTTTTGGCTTGTATGGTTTTTCTAGGCATATTTTACTTTCAGTAGTTTGCCACTGCTACTGAAGGGTCAATTCTCGGTACCACTGTCGAAACCAACGCAAGACAAATCGTCTGCAGCTGGGATCGAACCCAGCACCCCGGCATTACGATGCGTGTTCGCAACACCTAAGCCCTAGACGCCGACAAAATAAAAAAAAACACATTTAGAATTAAAGAAGAAAGTAAAAAATAACAGTACAATGATAACCATTAACCCCTTTGATATGATGTTGTCTATGTGCAGATGCAGGGCCGCAAAGTGATGAGCTAGACACATGGGAGGTGGCTATAGTTGCGGTAGCGACGGCAATGGTAGCAGCGCTGATGTGTGTCGCCTCTCCGTATATCCTGTGGAAGAAGCAGTGGTTGCCGATCAGACAATTTTTCTTCTACTTCATGCCCTTTGAGGATGACGGTGAGTTACTTTTTTTTTTTTTTCATTCTTTCTCTCTTGTTGTCTGTAACTTGTAAGTGCGAAATCAGTTTTCAAGCCAAACGATGTAATGGGTGAATGATGCCTGTACCACACCGTTAAATTATACAGCATTCGATGATGTTCGCAGACAACATCCTCTTTAAGTGCTTGGGGAGGGGTGGGGGGAGGGTGGGGGTGAGTGGTGGGGGGGGGGGGGGACGTATTAATCAACCAGCATCCCCAGAGGGAGAGCGGAGAAGAGAGCTGGAGAATGAGGTTAGAAAGATTGGGAGGACATGGGGAGAGCTCCATGCACTGGCGAAGGATAGAACGACTTGGCGTGAGTTGGTTGAGGGCCTATGCTCCATTGGGGGATAGAAAGGCAGAAGAAGAAGACTAGGGTAAGTGCGCCATATAAAACTGTTTAGCATTGTACGCCATCAGGTAACCCTGAAAAGGTCTCTTGCAGTGTTAATGAGATCAAAGAACACAGACCCAAATACCCTACCGACCGGGGACGAAGTCGTCTCTCGACCAACAGATGGACAACCTGGTCGCCGATGTGTCATCTTTTATTCTTGGCTGGGCGGCTGGTCTAATAGTCAAGCTCAGACAGGTCGAGAGACTGAGCACCGTTTTTTATTTATCCATGCGTTTGCTGCAGCACGCTTCATTACAAACGCTTCAGGGTTATATTTCTTTTTGGAGTAAAACAAAAGTAGGCGCGCGCGCGCGTGTGTGTGTGTGTGAGTGTGTGTGTGTGTGTGTGTGAGTGTGTGTGTGTGAGTGTGTGTGAGTGTGTGTGTGTGTGTGTGAGTGTGTGTGTGTGTGAGTGTGTGTGTGTGTGTGAGTGTGTGTGTGTGTGTGAGTGTGTGTGTGTGTGTGTGTGTGTGTGTGTGTGTGAGTGTGTGTGTGTGTGTGAGTGTGTGTGTGTGTGAGTGTGTGTGTGTGTGAGTGTGTGTGTGTGTGTGTGAGTGTGTGTGTGTGTGAGTGTGTGTGTGTGTGTGAGTGTGTGTGTGTGTGTGAGTGTGTGTGTGTGTGAGTGTGTGTGTGAGTGTGTGTGTGTGTGAGTGTGTGTGTGTGTGTGTGTGAGTGTGAGCGAGACAAACAGACAGTTATGGAGACATACGGACAGAGAGACAGGCAGAAGACAAGAGATCCTGATGCTTGTTCAACACATGGTCTCCGCAATACTAAATATAATACAAAATCTGACTAAAAAGTTCAACGGAATGAAGGGAAAAAAAGCACAGAAACGGAAAGAAATATTTCGACCTAAGGATAATGAGATAATGCCATTAATGTCATCTTCTCGTTTTATGGATTTAGTGATATAATTAAAAACAAGAATGTATAACTGTTTCAGCGTAATGTTTTCAGGCACGCTGAAGTAAACAGGTCGACCTAGCCTAAACTGGTTACCCAGTAATGTCCACAGAAGTAAAAGCGACCGGCGTGATGTTGACAGATTCATCCAGCCAGTGCCAATTGTTCATATACCCGATGCATCGGTGGCGTTAAAATGGGTCCTTAACTGAAGAAGAAGAAGAAGAAGAAAGGAGGAGGAGAAAAAGAAGGAGAAAAAGAAGGAGAAGAGGAGTAGTAGTAAGAATAAGGACTGGAGGGAGAAACCTACACTTAGACAAGGATTACCAGTAAGCCATGACTGCAAAAACAATTATGTTTAAACCCTATTTTTAACCATTTCCAAACAACCGCTGACACTGACACATGAAATATGTATGTGACAACAATTACGTGCATACATGCACGCGCTGAAGCGTGCACACATGCAGTCGACAACAGAGGTAGAGAAAAATACACAAACAGCCAGTGAAACGGATGTACACGCAAAACTTAGGTCTAAGTAAAAGCCACAAGTCCGAATGGACGAACTACGGCGACCTTCCGCCGGAATTCACAGCCGGTGAACGAGAAGAAGAAGAAGAAGAAGAAGAAGAAGAAGAAGAAGAAGAAGAAGAAGAAGAAGAAGAAGAAGAAGAAGAAGAAGAAGAAGAAGAAGAAAAAGAAGAAGAAGAAGAAGAAGAAGAAGAAGAACATAGACAAAGTGTAGGACAGT